TTAAGAAATAAACTGTTGTAGAAAAGAATATTAATCAGATACTGTTATGTGAAAGGAAGCAGATTATAAATGAGCATTTTAACATGATCTCGTTTTTTATAAATGAAAAAATATGCAAATGCCAGACTTTCCTTCCTCGCCACAAAACTAAAAGAACAGGCTCCACAATGTTCATAGTGCTGATATCTGAGTCGTAGAATGTGGAAGATTTTTAAATCTTCTTTTCAATTCTTTTTAAAAAAATTTTTATGAACATACATTTCTATAATAAAATGTCTGTAAAATTTATAATTATATATATATATGTGCACTTTTCTGTATGTGTCTTTTTGGGAGTCAGGTTTTTCCATTTCTAAATGTTTCGAGGTTTAATTAAAGTGCACTCTCAGTGGAGATGAGCATTTAATGTGAAGGAGAATGAATAAATAGGATTTGAAAGGGAGAAGTATTGTACAGATACTTTCTCTCCTGAATGCTGAACCATGTGGCCTAAGGGAATTTTTTTTTTCTTGGAGCCAAATGAATTCAGGACAGGTAGAGTGAGCAGAGAAGGTTCTAGGAATGCTCAGGATATGTGGGCATCCCTTGCTTTCTTCCTGAGGAGTTCCATAAAGTAATAAAATTAGAGAAAAACTGCCTTCCTGGGTTTTAACATCTGAGCAAAAGCTTCCCGAGTCATGGGAGTGGCTATGTAGGTTTTTAAACAGCAGAAATATTGACGGAAAACAAAAGTTCTCTCCAAGAAGGGGTGGGGTGGGGAGGTTAAGTAGTAATCATTTCAAGTTGACACTTACATGATACTTAGCATATTTCACCCACACTAAATTACATATAAACTTCATTTGTATTTAAAAAATCAATATTTACTTTTTTAAATAAAGTGTGATGTTTGAAGAGGGGAAAGCACATTTAGTTGACCATAGATCTTTCTTGATATGCAAGGTTATCCAGCCCCCCTTCCCTCTCCTGACTGTCTCCATGATTCTCTCTTCCGTGAGGTCAACAGAAAACAGAGAATATGCCACAGCTCTGCTACCCCAGTGAGGCTATGCTGGTTTAATTGCATTGCTTTATACTGAGCGATCTAATCCAATCAAAGTGCAGGCTTTTAAAGCCCTTCATTTCTAAACTCCAAGTGCAGCAGTACATCAGTTAATAAAAGGGAAGTATTTTTTTAACTGCACAGTACTTTTTAGTTTATAAAATGCTTTTATATTTTCTCATTTCACCTTCAAACCTACTCGATTTAAGTAGGTATTTCAAGGGTCGGTCTCTAGTTTTCCCGTGCTCAGAATCCATTCCTCCCACTTCCTCTGGTAACACACACCTCGGTTTTCCTTTGATGCGGCGTGCCTCTCCCACTTGCACGTGATTCACATGAGACTGACTTTACCTCATGCCCAAATCCAAGCATGGGCATGTGACTAGGGCTTAAGCAGTGCAGTCCACCTCCCTGGCCATGGGGACTGGTTCACAGACAGACACATGACTTAAATCCACCCCATAGATTAAATTCTGGGGTATTCCTGAAGTTGGTAAACCAAGAAGCATTAAGCTGAAAGCCCCAGCGATCACTGTGACAGGAAAGGCTTCCTCTAATTGTGCCAACTCAGAGGAAAGCAGAGTTGAGAGACAGAGGGGCACCATGTTCTGATGAAGTTGTTTGTACCTGAATCAGCCACACCTGAAGCCAGAGATACCCTTATGCCTTTCAGTTACGAGATCCAGTAAGCCTCTATTTTTTTTTTAAGATTTTATTTATTTATTTGAGAGAGAGAGAGCAGGAGAGGCAGGGAGGGTCAGAGGGAGAAGCAGGCTCCCCGCGGAGCAGGGAGCCTGATGTGGGGCTCACTCCCAGGACCCCGGGATCATGACCCGAGCTGAAGGCAGACGCTCAATGGACTGAGCCACCCAGGCGCCCCAGGAAGCCACTCTTATCCTTCATCCTGCCGGAGTTGAGTTTGTGTCACTCTCAGTCAAGAGTTCCAGCATATACCGTCTCTACTCTTCACCAACTCTAGGAAAAGTAGAGCCACCTGGGTCATACAGCCCTACTCTGAGACACCGCTGGTCCCCTGAAGGCAGCTACCTGAATTGCCTTTTAGAGCTTAAAAGAAAAGTATTCTAGAAAGAGTTGGCTGATAAGTCATAATTCATGAAGTATGAGTTATCACAAACATATTAGCATCTATTAGCAGAGATCCACTCACTGAGGCCCTAAGTATTAGTGGGCAAGTTTGTAAGGGGATCAAATTCTGATTAGGCAAAACCCATAGGTGTTAGAATACAATTTCCAATGATCAGTTCCGAGATTTTTGCCTAATTTCTCAATCTTCCGCCTACGTGTCCTTATAAGCAGTAAGTATTAAGAAAATCAATATTTATTTTTTAAATAAAGCATAAAGTTTGAAGAGGGGAAAGCACATTTTGTTGACCATACACCTTTCTTGAGATGCAAGGCTTATGTTTGTGATAATGCTCTCTTCATCAAAGGGTTTCTGTAAAGACCTATGATACTATAATATAAAATACTTAGCACACTGCTGGGCACAAAATATATTCTCGGTAAAGAGTAGCTTTATTAATACCTTAGGATGCTTTTAATAATGTGGAAGAGTAGATACCCTCAGGAGGATAGTCTGATAGGACGCCTGATCAATGAGAGGAGGTAAAAAGCCACTGAAGAAGTCAAGAATGGAGTGGACTACAGTTCACAGAAAGAAAGAAAGAAAGTTCTAAAGATGAATATACTAGAATCCACTGTTTCTCCTGGGGCCAGTACTGCCAGAGAATATTCTTTAGATTTGGAGGCAAGCCTGGATAACCAACCATCCCAGTTTGACCTAAACTGTGTTTCCTGGAACTTGAGACTTTCAGTGCCAAAACTAGAAAAGCCCTGGATATTCAGGTATGAACTGGTCACCTTACCAGCGACCACACGGCTATGTTTCCTGAGAAGTGAAAGCTCCACAGCCTGGAAAGGGAATTACCTATCAAGAAGGGCATCTGAATGCTCCATTGTCACCATGGAAGACCAATGGTTATCACCCTACCACGCTCCAAGAGAACTTGTGCCCAGCCTGCCAGGCAGGAATTTTAGAGAGCATGAAGCTAAGGACCATCAGTTCCCTTATTCCATTTAATCCTTAAAAGATTAACACAATAACAACAAAATCATAACCTAAAATCATTTTTAACAGTGTCCTATTTCAATTATCAAGTGCTGAATTAAAATGGAATGCAAACGCTAAAATTTAACACAGTGCTAAAAGTGAACATGTCTAAAATATTAATAGCAACTCTAAATGATTTATAATGCCCTCTTGGGCATATTTTATGATTTATTGATGTCATTTTAGCTGCTCCATGGGTGACAGAGTCACCTCACTGTGTATGTGTTCTGGTGGCTTTCTAGGCTAGTTATTCAGAAAACCACACTCTCAGACCTTTACTGCACATGCCAGGCTGTAGGTGACATAGAAAAAAGCAAAGATGTTCATTTTTCCCATAAATCAGAGAACTGTGGGGCTAAAAGAGCTTTAAAACTGGTTGCTTCTTGCTTTCTCAACTTCATGCAGGGTCACACTGGAGCTATCCTCAATGAATATGAATTTCACAAACTCCCTTATTAATTTATAATGTCAGTCTTTGTTGACAAGAAATTCTACTTCAGATCTAACCCCATTAGCCTTTTTGCATCAAGCGAAGCCCACTTTCTGGAGAAAAAACTCATGATTTCATTGAAAATTCACTTCCCTTCTTTGACCTAATAATGCATTTCTTCCAAATCTTTCTGCCCGTCCCACAGATGGTACCGCGCAGCCCTCCACTTTATGAGTTACTTCTAGTCTCTCAACAGGTTTTCTAACACTCTTTTTTGGTGCCCAGTCTACTCTAATCAAAGTTGAATTTGTCTTTTATTTCGTTCTTCCCTGACACCGTTCCCATCTCTCAGCTGCTTCTCCCTCTCCAGAGACTGAAAGATCCCATCCTGTGCCCTGGAATGGCCAGGATTTGCTGTCATCACCTCTCCAATGACACACGTCTAGACACACGTCTAAATAGTGATGACACAGGCCTATAATTGTGGGAAATGCCCCATGTTTAATAATGACCATTCCGCCCTTCAAAACTCCAAACCCCTCAAAACAGGGATGTTGGGATATGGGGAGCTTTCTGAGAGCCCATCAAATTAAATCATGTTGACAACTGCCTATCTCCTGATTTGATATCACAACCCAGACCCAGTACTCTGTGTAGTATTAATAAACTAGAAAATAAACAAGCAAGCAAACAGAAAGAAACAACAACAACAACAAAAACCCAACCCTCAGAGTCTTATACTCTGTGTTTATTTTTCTGGATCCAGCCTCTGATTTACTTTGTGAACTCTAGTTCGTTGTTGCTGACTCACGGTCACTGTATTTTTTTTCACCATAGACATAGTCACTTCTTATCTTATTTTGGCGACATCTGTTTTTCCTCACTATGTTACAACACTGTAATTATGTAGGCAGGACCCAGTGATCCTAAAATACAGTATGTAATTGCTAAAGTTAAAACTCTGGCAAACATTTCACCGCAGGAACCAAAGGCTAAATAGAGGCATGGTATATAAATTTGCCACATTTCTTCTTTATCTCAGACATTGAGAAGAGGTGATCATGCTTATGAAGATATAAGTACATGATGGTTACTCAATATGCACCTGTTTATTGAGTGACTATAAATAATTAAGCACCTGCCTGGTTGTAGGTATCTACTGAGTACCAGGCCAGGCCTGGTAGTGAGTATCAGGCACCAGGTGAGGGCCGGTAACTTGGATTAGGTGGACTGGGACCTCTCACTTGAGTAGTGGGAGGTGTCAGTTGGGACCCCTGGGGAGAGGCTCTGAGATGGTTAGGAGTACAAAATGTTTACTGTACCGGTGAGTAACATTTGCGTGAACAGAAGGAGAGAGTAGGATTGGGCAGGGGAAGCTCTCCCACCATGATACCTACCTGAAAAAGTCTCTGCCAGCCCAGTGAGGAGCTCTGAGCAAAGAGTGGCCTCAGAGGGATCAGCATTGGTGGAGGTAGCCAGAGAAGGTGGAGGTAGCCATTGGTGGTGGCGGCCCGAGAAGGGTTTGGCCTGGGCCCCAAAGCTGAGGCAGACCTGAGGGAGTGAACAGCCAGAAGTGTCAGCTAAGCCCAATCCCTGATGCTGTACAGCACATTCTTTCTTCAACGGGAGTCTGAGAGATGCATCTCTGTGTCTGCTGCATAGTCCAAGACAAAAAATGTACCGGAGAGCCAAGGATCCAAATTAAGTACGTGGAGCCAAAAATTCTAAACTTGGTGAAATGGGTTCCAACCAAATGAAGGTCAAGATTTTAAAAGGTGGGAGCCTGTGTTATAGCTCAGGAACGACCTGAGCGTTCGGTGGAATTGAAGACTTTCTTTTATGGGCAAGGTAAGCCACAGGCACGGATGGGTCATTCTGGCCGAAACTGTCAGGGCTGTGATGTAGAATTAAAACCACATAAAACATTCCATAGCTATCTGCTCTAAGTAGAGACATGACTTGAAAACTCTGGAGAACATATGCTATTTGTCCCACATTCTGCTGCTTAGTAGGAAAAGCCAAATGGGCTTAGATACCACAGTCACACACGCACGAATGAAGTCGGGGGTGGTGGCTAAGGAGGCAGGCTCTGGAATGGGCTGATCGATCGAAGCCCCAAAATGATTACTTTAAGTTCTATGACCTTGAGAAAGCTATTTATCCTCACAGTCTTGGTTTATTATATTCAAAATAGGGACAAAACATAGTATCCATCGTGGAGGGCCGTTGTTCAGGTTAAACCCTTGTAACTTGAAGTGTGAGTCCTGGTTGAGCAGCGCCACCATCACCCGGGGGCTTGTTAGAAAAGTAGACTATCGAGCCCCATGCCAGACTTATGGAATCACAAGACCACCCCACCCCCAGTTGATTTTGTGCACACATTAAAGGTGGAAAAGCACTGGGTTACTGTGTTTGGCATACAGTAGCCACACGACAGATACTACTTGTTATTATTTCTGTTATTATCATTGTTGCTATTTTCATCTTGAATCATCTTGGGCAGGCACTTCACTTAAGAACCTGAGCTTTCTAATCTGTAAAGTGGGGATCATGACTACATCCAACGGCCTGAAGTCCAGATCATCTTTCAAAGTCCTTCCGAACTTAGGAGATGTCTGTGACTCTGTCGTGATCACAGAAGGGTAATTGGCTAGGATTTGACCAGCATTTACTCGGTGTCAGGTGCTGTTCTTGGTGCTTGACGTGTTTCATCTTATTTAATCATCCAGCAATGCTCTGAGATGGGTACTATTTTTAATGCCTATTTTACAGATGAATAAACTGAAGCATGGAGGGACCAAATAACTTGCTCAACGAAACACTCAGGGGTAGAGTCAGAATTTGAACTTTGGCAGTCTGATGTGACAATGCACACTCTTCTTGCCATTCTTCTGTCCCCATAGCCAGGCCGTAACTAAGTCCAACACAATTAGGGTGACCAGATGCAGCATGTAACACATCATGGCTACCGCAGGCAATATTCAGGCTGTGGGTTCTCAAATCTGCCTGCACATTAGAGTATTTTTAAAAGAGTGGAGATTTTTTAAAAATACAGACTTCTTAAGTCTCATGCTCACAGATTCTGTCTCTCAGTAGTTTAGAAGTGGGGCTCAAGCTGCTTCTTCTTCTTTTTTCCCCAAGCTTTTAGAGACTAATCTGATGCAGTCAAGATTGAGAATGTGTGGGAACATGGGTTAACAAGCCACCACTCTGTGTCCAGTATGTAGTAAGTCAAACTTCTCTCTGAAGTAATTGGGAGGAATAAGGAGGCAAGGAAGGAAGAGGGCAAGGGCAAGATAGAGAGGGGGGTGGATAGAGGTTGGTTGGTGATGGAGGGACAACAATTCTCCCCTTACTCCCTCAACATACATCCTTGTGTCTAAGTGGTTTCTTTGCATGAGTTGTAGGATGGAATCATACATCTCCTGAGCCATTATTACTTGGGGGGTTGTTTAATAGCACTTGAGTAGGAAATATCTGGTACCACTCAATGGAGGAATCTATTTCACTGTACTTCCATGAGGGAGAAAACTCTTTCAGCCAAAAGAAGGTGAACGGAACCCTCCACATCATCCGGAACGACAGAGGGAGGACTACACCACAGCTAGAAGAGAGAAGGTGGGTGTGGGACAGTGTTCAGATGAGAAGGAGAGTATGGAGGGACCGCCACAGAACCCAGAGTTGCTCCCAGGTACACAGGTAGAATAGAAGATTCACATTTTCTAGAGTATTCCACACTCAAGCAGATCTACGGAAACAACTGGTAAGGCTTGGACTTGAAGCAAAATTAGCCATGACATACATAGAGCCAGAGAACAGTCTGAAAATAGCAATATGGGCCCATCCCATCACAGAGCCTGGGGCACTGAAGAGCATGGACTGTGGCTGAGGAAAAGATGAACCCAGGAGAACAGATACCCTAACAGAAAATATTCCCTGAGCCATATGTGCAGAGGAGGGAGAGAATTAGGTTAAATTCCACTTTAAAATAGCAGGAAGTTTGTTGTCTGTATTGATGCTAAACTTGATCATTAGTGTTAATTCCCGGGTTTGGTTTCAATTATTCTCAAAAACTTAGTTTATTATCTTTGTAAAGCCCTCAGTTAAAAAGATTCTCAAAAATATCATACCTGGGAAAAATAAACCCAAGCTGAACATTATGATAGGGTTCTGCTATGCAGCTATAGGAAACAAAAACACCTAGAAAACAATGCCTCAAGCTTTATTTTGCTCTGAGTGTAACACATTACACAGCCATCCCTCAGAGGCAATGGAAAGATAACAGGTTAGCAAACAATGTGAAAGGAATCACTCTTGCCATGAATAGAGTATTTTGAATTGGAAAAGATGGCATGACGTACCAGACAACAACATACCTGTGAAGAATCCTAGATTTGAATGAAGTGAAATCAATAGCTGAAATTAGGAAGCATTTAAGAACAAACAGACGATCATTTATAAATAAATCTCTAATTAACATTTACCCTTAAATAAAATATCGCGAATTTTACTTTCCTTGTTACTTCACATGCCAGAACTCTTCAGGGATGCACCAGCTACAAGGGACTAACCACGGCAGTGAATAATTCATGTGGAATATAGAGCCATAGATAAAAAGAGAAGAGCAGTTGATCGGTTTTTTTTCCAAGAAACTGTTAATGTTACATTACATTTTATTGAACCAACCTCAAAAAATAACAGAGCCTGAACATTATTATCCCCGTTATTACCTTTCTTTCCAAGTGCCATATCTTGTTCTCTCTTGAGTTGATACATTCTGATTACTTTTGCTTACTTTAGAGATTTGCTTTTTCTAGTGAAAAATGCTTGACTAGAACCTCTCACATTCGAATTTCTTCAAGTTATAACCACTTGCTATCAAACTTAAATAATCTCCCTTATTGGACTCCATTTGTTCATTTCCAATCTACACCTTCCATTTAATATATGGAAGTGTTCTTTAGTGCCCTTTCTCCCTACCTACAAAGGACAAATGTGTCTTTCATTAGTCACAGTCGTGGTGACACCCCCACATCACCCAAGGAATCAGGATAGCTCACACAATGTCTGTGCAAATTTGGCTACGGAAGAATTGAGTGTGACCAGAAAGATTCCGTGGTCCAGTTCACCTTGGATTAAGCTAGGGAACTGATTTCCAGGACCTTGAAAACAGCTGTGATGGAGCAGACAGTCCATTTAGTGAGAGTCACAGATGTGGGGACTGGTTTGGGCTATTTGTCTCTTTTTATTTCCAGAAAAGCTTCAGCAGCCAATACCACCCTGCGTTTCCTATCGGGCTTATCATTGTCTGTCGAAACTGTGTCATGCACCCCGATGTATGAATCTAGCAGTGCACCAAGTGTTTCTTTCATTTGGGTTTTTGTTTTATGGTTTTGGTTTTGTTTTTGAGGAGTTATTTTTTTTTTTTTTGAGTTTTTTGTTTTGTTTTGTTTTTGGCTATTGTTCAGGGAAACTAAAGTCAGAGCTCCTCATATTCAGCCTTAAGCCACTATGCTTTTCTTCCCTATCTTTGATTTAAAAAAAAAAAACAAACATATTCCAAAAGACAAATTTATGGGGCACCTGGGTGGCTCAGTCGGTTAAGCATCTGCCTTCGGCTCAGGTCATGATCCCAGGGTCCTGGGATCGAGCCCCACATCGGGCTCCCTGCTCAGCGGGGAGCCTGCTTCTCTCTCTGCCTCTCACTCCCCCTGCTTGTGCAAGCTTGCTTGCTCTCTCTCTGACAAATAAATAAATAAAATCTTAAAAAAAAAAAAAGACAAGTTTATGTTTTGAAATGGTTTCTCAAATCACAGAATATACAAATTGACTTCAAATATATCTTTGTCAGTTGTGGAAACTGCTTTGGTTCAATAGGGAAAACTTGGGGTGGCTTTGGACAAGGAAAGTCATGTCAGGTTGAGTCCCTCCCACCTTGTGCTCCTTCTCTCCCCAAATCGTGAGGTGCTTATAAAGAAAAGAAAGAAAGAGAGAAAGAAAGAGAGAGAGAGGGGCGCCTGGGTGGCTCAGTCGTTAAGCGTCTGCCTTCGGCTCAGGTCATGATCCTGGAGTCCAGGGATCGAGCCCCGCGTCCAGCTCACTGCTTGGCGGGAAGCCTACTTCTCTCCCTCTCCCACTCCCCCTGCTTGTGTTCCCTCTCTCGCTGTGTCTCTGTCAAATAAATAAAATCTTAAAAAAAAAAAAGAGAGAGAGAAAGAAAGAAAGAAAGAAAGAAAGAAAGAAAGAAAGAAAGAAAGAAAGAAAGAAAGAAAGAAAGAAAGAAAGAAAGAAAGAAGGAAGGAAAGAAAAAGAAAGAAAGACAATAATAATGTCTTAGTCCATTCAGGCTGCCATTGTAAAAATACTGTAGACTGGATGGCTTAAACACCAAATATTTATTTCTCGTAATTCCAGAGGCTGAGAAGTCCAAGATCAAGGTGCCTATGGACTTGGTGTCTGGTGAGAGCCCCCTCCCTGGTTCATTAGATGATCATCTTTTCACTATGTCCTCGCATGGCAGAAGGGGCAAGAGTTCTCTGAGGTCTCTTTGATGAAGACGCTAATCCCATTCAGGACCTAATCAGCTGCCAAAGGCCCTGCCTCCTAATACCATCATACTGTGGGTTAGGATTCCAACACAGGAATTGAGGTGGGGGAGGCGGGACACAAACATTCTGTCCATAACAACAGGAAACCAGAGTTGCTAGTGTCTTATTTCATAGACTGTGTCTTGAATAGCAGCCAGCCTTATCCCAGGAGGGTTCCTGATGCCACACTCAGTGTCCATTTTAGCAGGAAATCACTTTATCTCTTGGATTCCCTGACCCGCCTCCATAAATACAGAAATTCCAGGATTCTAAATTGTCTCAGGAGGGAATCCTGCTTGCTCCTATCTCACTACCTTGCAACTCTGGAACTAAATGTACTCTCTTAAAGCCAAAGCAATTAACGACAGTTTCCGAAGCTGGATGGCATAGAACAAGGAGGAACACCAAAGGCTGGCAGAGTTGTAGCTGAGGCCTGGACAGCCTGGAGTGGATTCTTCTGGCTGCTGGGCTGTTTCTGCAGGTGCTTAAGTAGGGTCCCAAGTGATGGGCTGAGGCTAGCCTTCGCTACAGTGGTTTTGGTAGGTTCCACGGAGGGAGATTCCAATCTCTTAGTGCTCAGCTCAGCTAACAAGCTCCATACCAACTTTCCTGGGCTTCCTACTGCAGCTCTTTAGATTTCACTCCCCAGCCTTTTCCCCAGGTCAGGAGTCTTATCCCAGACGCTGGTGTCAGGAACTTCATGGGCCCCAAAACACCAGACCTCTTACTTGTCAACCCCTAGAAGTAGAGCCTCTTTCTATTTTCAGATCCCAGCCTATGTTCAGATCCTACCACCAAATGAGTGAAAGGGGAGGAAAAACTAACCAATTGCTATTACAGGGTCTCTAACCCCTACACCCTAAAGTCTGTTTAAGTACAAGACAGTCATCTACTTTTATGTATAATGCTTTTTTGACAAAGTGAGTAAGTAGCAAGCCAAATGTAAGAATTTTGAAAGACTTCCTGGGATCCATTTCACATGTGCTAAAAATGCATTTAATTATATATTCATATATAGTAGTGGTGAAAGTCATTGCTTCTAATGGTAAGGAAATGGGGTGGGGGCAAAGGCAGAAAACAGTTGTTTTTCATAAGACAACACACAGAACTCTCTGACTCTTTAAAACATGACCATTTGTAGATTTCAAAATAGAAAAACAAAAAAATTAAGGATAAATACTACGGTGAGATCAAACAAACAAAAAAAAAGCTTTGCAGAGAAGTACATCACATACAGACTCAGAAAAAGAAGGGCTTCAGAATTTGCAGCAACAACACTAGAAGCCAGAGGCGATGGAGAAATGCTTTCTAGTTTTTGAGGAAACTAGTTTCCAAATTAGAAATCTGCTCTCAATCAAACTCATATGTCTTGCTGTAGAATCAAGATACCTTTAGGCATACAAGGCACATTGGGTAGGTTAAGCTAATACAGCAGAAGTTACTCTAGACAGTTGCTCTGGTTAAATGTTTGTGTCTCCTCCGCCCCCAAATCGTATGTTGAAATTCTAACCCCCAACGGATGGTATTACAAGGGGGTGACTTTGGGGGTGCTGCGGTCATGAGGGGGAGCCCTCATGAGTGAGACTGATGCCCTTCTAAAAGAGACCCAAGAAAGCCCCCTTTCCCTGGCACCATGTGAGGCCACACGGAGAAGTCAGCAGGCCGCCAGCTAGAACAGGATGCGCACCAGAACCTGGCCATGCTAGCGCCCTGATCTTGGACTTGCTGCCTCCAGAACTTCAAGAGACAGATGTCTGTTGGCTTTAAGTTTGTGGTATTCTGTTACAGCACCCCAAATCGACTAAGATACCAACTGAAGCCAAAAAGACGAGTTACGAGAGAGAGAGAGAGAGCTCACAGACTGGGAGAAAATGGACCACACTCCCAGTGCTGACGCCCCAGCACAAACCCGCCCCTGGAGGGAGTCTGCGCCTCAGACAGAAGCCACTAACTCGGACGCTGTGGTCACAGGCACCAGTTCCAACCTCTGCCTCCGCCATCATCAGGAGGCTGCAAAAGCAGATGCCTCCATCACACTCTGGACTCCAGAAGCCTGCTGGGCTGCCTCACCCAGCTATGCACCTGCCACGTGGAAGCCTTGGACCTGCCTCTCTCCCAAGTCATACAGCTCTGGATCCAGATTCTGACTCCGGCACAGAAGCAGCTGACTGGTAGAATCAAAACCACACGGCTGTAACCTAACAACTGGAAAGTGACCTAAAAATGTTCTTTGTCAAGAATACAGAATTTATAATGTGGGAAACTCTTAAAACAATGGGAAAGGGGATGTTCAAAAATGTAGGGCAGCCTGAATGGCAAATGACCACTGCACGCGCACTTAAAACTTCTGCCTCTTACAGACTCTTTCTTACAAAGCAACCGAAAGGTACTACTGGTGTTTCAGCACCAAACAAGGGAATGAATCCAGAAAGAGAGAGAGATAAAGTCAGGAAACAGGAGACCTAACACAAGGAGGCAGGCAACAGAAGTTCCCAAGAAGATGATGAAGGCCAAGTCCAGTGTGAGCAGGAAGATGAAGTCTGTACTGAGGGATGGGATTGGGGAACGGGGAGAATCTGCTAGATTACCTGATGCTTTCAACTCTTATTAAAGTATCCAGAGAATTATGATAGGCACAGAGAGCACTGAACAATTGGGTGTGGGTGTGGGGGGTGGGAAAGGCAAGCATTAACCCTAAGAAAATAAAAATATATTTAAGAAAGGAAGTATGATCTTAGCGTGCTACACGTCTCGGGCAGGAACAGGACTTGTGCAGGCATGGTAGTATAAACACTCCTGACTGATGATGAAGGAGCACATAACTCTATCCAGAGGCCAGGGTAAGAAAGGGGAGAACACACTGGGTACAAGCCCTGACTCTTCAGCTTCTGCTTTAGGAAGCCAAACACAGTATCTAACATTTAAAAACCAAGCAAGAGTAATAGATGCATGTTACTAAGAATGTGGAAATTAACACCACAAGAAAGTTTTTTTTTTAATTTTTTATTATTTTTTTAAGAAAGTTTTTTTTCGGAGTCGAAAATTGTTGCCTTGGGCGCCTGGGTGGCTCAGTTGGTTAAGTGACTGCCTTCGGCTCAGGTCATGATCCTGGAGTCTCAGGATCGAGTCCCGCATCGGGCTCCCTGCTTGGCAGGGAGTCTGCTTCTCCCTCTGACCCTCCTCCCTCTCATGCTCTCTGTCTCTCATTCTCTCTCTCAAAATAAATAAATAAATAAAAATCTTTAAAAAAAAAAAAAGAAAGAAAATTGTTGCCTTGAGGGCACAGATTATTGGGAGTAGGAAAAGGTGAGGATTGCTATTTTTCCATCATAAGCCTGAGAGCATTATTTCACTTTTAAAGTCATGTATATACATACATACATAGGTATGTATATACACTTATACATATATACTCAGACATATTAATTAAAATTTTTAAATTAAATGTAGGGAAAAACAACTCTTACGGTTCACTTGTGGCCTTCCTCTCTTAAGATTCATGCGTCTGCTGTCTCAGATTCTCTCCCCTTTCTGTGGCACACCTGCTCATTCTATAAACCATTCTCTCCTGTCAAGATGACAAACTGCATTAGCCACTGGCTCCTTCCTGAAAATCAACCCTAGAGAAACTACAGAAGCCAGAGGGAAACTCGAATTTGAGGAACTAACAACAAAGAATAAAATAAAATAAAACACTATGAAAAGTCCCTGGGAAGCCTGCAGACTCGGGAGATGGAAGGGGGGTGGGGATAGGGCAGGGGGTGGGGGCGAGAATGGCTTCAGCCTGGGCAAAAGCAGCCACAGGAAGACAACTTTCTGTTCTGCTCTTGCTTCTCCCCTCCATGGACAAACACAGTGTGCTGATCGCCACGGAAACTGGCAGCAACAGCTGAGACTGCAGAGGTCAGCAGGGTACAAGGAGAGCAGCCCCAAAGCCCTTCGGGAGTAAGGAGGGGGGAAGACAGGGAATGTGTACTGACTGGCTCCCCGTGGGTGTTCACCACCAGACCCCTCCCACTCTAAACGCCCAGGACAAGGAGAGCAAATCTATGGAGACTGTTCTGCTTCTAGAGTCTAGAGGCTGTTTCCCATTTAAATGGGAAATACACACTAGAAAAGTTATTTCTGGATGGTGGGCAAATGGGATGATCACCAACAGCTCTGTGGCCCCTAAGGCTCTCTTCCCTGGCTTTAATTCACCTATAGGTACATCTCTTAGAGTCTGGGCTGTAGCCATTTCCCAGCCCATAACCATGTGTAGTAACTGAGAGTCAAAGGGAGGAGGGGTTCTTGGGACCAACACACACACACATACACACAAACAAAACAAAACAAAAAACAAAAATCCCTGTAAGGATCCCAACTACTATATAAGAAAGACCGAAAACTCAACAGTATAGACCATCTGAATCAGAATTATGAGAGGAGATGGGCTGAGAAATTAATGATGATAAATATATTAAGAAGTTAAGGTTGTAAATATATTAAGAAGTTAAGGCTGATGTCAGCAATATGAAGTAAGAACAAGAAAGCCTTTTTTAAAAAAGGACGAAATTGAGTGTAAGGTATGAAATATGTAATAGCTGAAGTGAATAAAACAATAGTTAAGATATAAAGCAAGATGGATAAAGGTGATGAATAAATCAGTGAGTTGAAAGATCAGATGGACAGGGGCACCTGGGTGGCTCAGTAGGTTAAGTGTCTGACTCTTGATTTTGGCTCAGGTCATGATCTCAGGGTGGTGAGATCGAGCCCTATATCAGGCTCCACACTGGGCATGAGCCTGCTTAAGATTGTCTCTCTCCCTCTCTCTCTGCCCCTCCCCCAACACGTGTGCACATGCTTGTGTGTGTGCATGCGCTCTCTTTCTCTCTCTCAAACAAATAAATCTTAAAAAAAAAAAAAAAGAAAGAAAGATCAGATGGACAAGCTCTCCTAGAGATCAGCAGAAAAGGGTAAAGAGAGGCAATCCAGAAGAAAGCTAGAAGATGTGGAGAGTGGGAGCAAGAGTGCTAACACCTGTGAGTAGTGGCTTTGTGTCCACTTGGCTAAGCTGAATTTGGTTTCCCCAAACTCTATTTCGTGCATTTCCATTGAGGTGGGCCATAAGCCAGGTCCCTTGGAAAGGTCTGAAGGGCACTGTCACTAACCTGCTAGCTCGCCTCCTTGGTGCAAAGCAGCCATGGAGTTTCCTCCAACCTCTGTACCTTGCATAGATCCTCACTAATGCTTCACTGACCCCCAGACCAGGTGTGTATTTGGCAATCGTGATGAAAGGTCTGGTTTCTGTAAGAAACACATACAATCAAGGTTAGAGGCAACAAGAACTAACGGGAGTTTCTGTCTGTCCTCCGGCTCCAGCTTGAGCTTGTGAGTTCCAGCATGTCTTGTTCACTGCCCTCCCCCACCCCTTTATTTCCATCTTCTGTTCTCAACCTCCTCATCTACAGTGTGAAAGCTCCAGCACTGGACATAAAGGCCACACCCTTGCAGAGACTGACCAATGTTCACACTTCATAAGGTCAAATCCCTGCAATACATGCATTCCCCTTTCCCACTCCTATCATACCAATGTTATCTCAAATTTTAGTTCTAGCTTGTTTTGGATATATTTGTAAATTTGTTCTTTTTCTCACTTTGGTCCTTAATGAAAACATAAATTTTACCAAGGAATTGTATCACCTTTACCATATTTCTTCAATGTTAAGTACTGCTTGCAACACCTGTTTTCAGTATAACATCCTTCTCAGTCTTATCTGGAAAAATATATATACATATATACTCATATATTTGTGTATATATATATTTAAGCCATCACATTGGAAAGATAATTTGGCTAAATATAAAACTCAAGGTTCAAATTTATTTTCCTTTAATATTTAAAAAGTATTTTTCCATTTGTCATTTTGTGCCCACTGTTCAACCTGATTCTTGTTCTCATTAATGATCTCTTTGTTTTCTCTGGAAGCTTTTAAAATTCTTTCCTTATCTTTGATGTTCCTAAGTTGCATTCTGATGGTTCTTGGTTTGGGGTTTTCCTTATCTCTTTTTAACTTGTCCTCTCTTTCTGTAATTCGGTATAACAGAGTTCAATCAGAGAAGCAGAACCATTACAATATGGGTGTATGTGTGTACAATAACAGTTATATAGGGGTGCCTGGGTGGCTCAGTCGTTAAGCGTCTGCCTTCGGCTCAGGTCATGATCCCCGGGTCCTGGGATGGAGCCCCGCAGGGAGCCCCGCATCGGGCTCCCTGCCCGGCGGGAAGCCTGCTTCTCCCTCTCCCACTCCCCCTGCTTGTGTTCCCTCTCTCGCTGTGTCTCTCTCTGTCAAATAAATAAATAAAATCTTTAAAAAAAAAAAACAGTTATATATATTCACACACACAAGTTCACTAAATTACTTGTCTAGTTAGGAGAAATACACAGATGTTGATAGGTTTAAGAAATTAGTAAGAACGGGGGAGCCTGAGTGGCTCAGTTGGTTAAGCATCTGCCTTTGGCTCAGGTCATGATCTCAGGGTCCTGGGATTGAGCCCCACATCCAGCTCCCTGCTCAGTGGGGAGTCTGCTTCTTCCTCTCTCTCTGTTCCTCCCCCTGCATGCACATGTGCTCTCTCTCTCTCTCTCAAATAAATATATAAAAACTTCAGAAAAAAAAGAAATTAATAAGAACAAGTAAACATGAGCAAAGATCTTAAAGGCAGCCATACTTGAACAAAAACAGAATACTTTTTTGAGCCAACAAAAAACAAAAAGAAAATGCACTAAATTGAAAATAAGAGACAGGGTAGGAGAAGTAATTTCTAATACAAAAGCAATCACAATAAATGTAAATGGAGTTAACTCACAAGTAAAAAAACAAGTACTCTCCAATAGTATTAAGAAATAAAAACGGGGCGCCTGGGTGGCTCAGTAGGTTAAGTGTCAGCTTTCAGCTCAGGTCATCATCCCAGGGTCCTGGCATCAAGCCCCACCTCTGGCTCCCTCCTTAGCAGGGAGTCTGCTTCTCCTTCTTCCTCTGCCACTCCCCCTGCTCATGCTCTCTTTCTCTGTCAAAATAAATAAATAAAATCTTAAAAAAAAAAAAAAATCCAAAAATACATTGTCTATGAGAAACATTCGTAAAACCCAAAGACACACAAAGAAACAGCAATGATAGTAGCTGACAAAAAAGGAAGTTGAAATAAAAGGTAAACAAAACAATAAAGTGAGAAGAAATAACCATCACAAACATATATGGACCTAATAATAGGTTATGGTAACTGACAGCATTCGGAGAGAAACATATAAATAGTTGTAATTTTTAACACCTAATTATCAGAAATGCATTAAGAAAACAAAAATTAAGTAGATTTTTATCTAAATATTATAATTGGTAGGCTTATACTATTAATTATACTGTTCAGATCTTTGATAGGTATGTTCTCATGGTATGCTGGGTATAATATATACCTTTTGATATATACATGCCATAATAGTTCATGCAAAAAATAGCAAATATACATTTTTTAGAAACATACACATATTAACAGGAATGTATCATGTCTACAGGAAGTCTCAATAAAGTCACCAGGAACAATGTCTTGTATATTATATCTTCCAAACATAATAAAATAATACTAGAAATAAATAACAAAATTTCTTTATATGTCTCATATTTTGAAAATACCACATTACTAGATAACTCATAGGTTAAAAATGAAATTATAATCAAAATGAAGAAATATCTATGGGCACCTGGGTGACTCAGTAAGTTAATAGTCTGACTCTTGGTTTTGACTCAGGTCATGATCTCAGGGTCATGAGACTGAGCCCCAAGTCAGTCTCTGCACTCAGCGAAAACTTTCCTTGAGATTTTCTCTCTCTCTGTCCCTCTCCCATAAGCTCTCTCTCAAATAAATAAATCTAAAAAAAAAAAAAAAGAAGAAATATCTAGAATTAAGTGAACATGAAAACACAAAATGTATGGCGCATAATTAGAGAAATATTTAGAAGAGCATATATACATTTAAATATGTTTATCAGGAAACAATAAAAGTTGAAAAGAAATATGCTTGGCATCCAACCCAAGAAGGGATAAAAAAAGAACATCAAAAGAAACTCAAAGAAGAAAAAAGAATATAAGACAGGATATAATAAGAAACAACATAATAATTTTTTTAAGTGGAGGAGATTAATAAGGCTAAAAGTTCTGTTTTTGAGAAGATAACCAAGATAAATCTCGGATTAGACTGATAGGAGGGGTGCCTGGGTGGCTCATCAGTTAAGCATCTGCCTTCGGCTCAGGTCATGATCTCAGGGTCCTGGGATCCAGCCCCGCATCAGGTTTCCTGCTCAGTGGGGAGTCTGCTTGTCCCTCTCCCTCTTCCCCTCACCCCTGTTTGTGAGCCGTCTCTCTCAAGTAAATAAATAAAATTCTTAAAAAAAAAAAAAAAAAGACTGGGACACCTGGGTATCTCACTCAGTTGGTTAAGCGTCTGTCTTCAGCTCAGGTCATGATCCCAGGGGCCTGGGATTGAGCTCCACATGGGGCTCCTTGCTCAGGCGGGAGCCTGCTTCGCCCTCAGCCTTCCACTCTCTCTCTTTCTCTCTGACAAATAAAGAAATAAAATCTTTAAAAAATAAATAAATAAAAAGATTGAAAGGAAAATAAAGGAGATAAAAAACTAAGTAAAACACGATCAAATAATGAAGAGGATGAAATAATTATAGATTTTAAAAGCAAGCATAGATAAAAGGCATAAATTCCCAGAAAATACATGAAATGCCAAACTGGCACAAAAAGAAAAAGGTAACTTAAAATAGATTCAGAAGGATTAAAGAAATTGAACTGGTAGTTAAAACTCCATCCCAAAGATCTCTAGACCTGGATGCTTTTTAAATGGACTCTATCAAGCTTTTTAAAAACACAATTCCCATGTTATATAAGTTGTTCCCAAAAATGTAAAAAGAAAAATTCTCAGTTCATTTTATGAAACTAATATAATCCAACTTCCCTTAAGGCTTCTGGATTTTAAGTCATAATTCAGAAAGTGTTCTCCACTCCCAGGTTATAGAGGAATTTATCCACGTCTTTCCTGGTACTTGAATGGTTTCATTTTATTTTTACATTTATGTCTCTGATCCATTTGGAATTTATTCTGGTACATACTGTAAATAATGAATCCAATTTTCTCTATTCCCATCTGGCTACACACAGTGGTATGCTGGAGTTGGCTCATGCCAGCTCCTAAGAGATGATTGTTAAATTTTCAGGAATTTTGTGAGCTGATTGCTAAACACAGCCATTATTACAAAACAGAGAAAATCTATTAAGTCTAATCTACAGAGAAAATCTAAATGGCTTTGGGTTTGGTGATGACTTTTTGGATATAACACCAAAGGCATGCCCCATGAAAGAAATACGTGGTAAGCTGGACTTCATTAAAATTAAAAACTTCTGCTTTGCAAAAGACTTTGGCAAGAGAATGAGAAGATGAATCACAGACTGGGAGAAAGTATTTGCAAAAGACACATCTAATAAAGGACTGTTATCCAAAATACACAAAGAACTCTTAAAACTCAACAGTAAGAAAATTAAAAATCTGATTTATAAGAGGGATAAAAGACCTAAATAGACACCTCACCAAAGAAGATATACAGTCAGCAAATGAGCATATGAAAGGATGCTCCACATCCTATGTCATTAGAGAATGCAGACTAAAACAACCACGAGATACCACTAACACCTATTGGAATAGTTAAAATCCACAAACTGACAACACCAAATGCTGGTGAGTGTGTGGGGAAATAGGAACTCGCATTCATTGGTGGTGGAATGCGAAATCGAAGAGATATTTCAGAAGACAGTTTGGTGGTTTCTTACAAAACTAAACATACTCTTACCATGTAATCCAACAATGGCCCTTCTTGGTATTTATTCAAATGAGTTGAAAATTTATATAAAAACCTGCCCCACCCCCCAGATATTTATAGTAGATTTATTTGTAACTACCATAACCAAGATGCCTTTCAGTAGGCAAATAGGTAAACTGTGGTACATCAGTGCTAAAAAGAAGTGAGCAATTAAGCCATGAAATGATATGGAGATATCTTAAATGCATATTACTAAGGGAAAAAGGCCAATCTGAAAAGGCTACATACTGTATAATTCTAAGTATATGACATTCTGGGAAAGGCAAAGTAAGAGATAGTAAAAATATGAAAACAAAAATAAAAATAAACAGTGGTTGCCAGAGGTTATGGAGGAGGAAGAATGAATCAGAGGAGGGCACAGAAGATTCTTAGGGCAGTGAAACTGTTCTGTATGATACTGTAATGGTGGATATGTCATCATATATTTGTCAAAACCCATAGAATGTACAACACCAAGAGTGAACCCTAATGTACACTTGCACTTTGTGTGGTTATTATGTGTCATTGTAGCTTCATCCTTTGTAACAAATGTACCACTCTTGCACTGGATATTGATAGTGGAGGAGGCTGGTGGGGGACAGGGTTATATAAGGGAACTCTCTTTACTTTCCCCCCAGTTTTACTATGAACCTAAAACTGCTCTAAAAAATAAAGTCTATTTAAAATAAGAAAAGCAGGGGCACCTGGGTGGCTCAATCGGTTAAGCGTCTGCCTTCGGCTCAGGTCATGATCCCAGGGTCCTGGGATCAAGCCCTCCATCCTGCTCCCTGCTCAGCGGGGAGCCTGCTTCTCCCTCTCCCTCTGCCACACCTCCTGCTCGTGCGTGCTCTCTCTCTCTCGCTCTCTCTCTCAAATAAATGAATAAAATCTTTAAAGGAAATAAAATAAAATAAGAAAAGCAAAATGAGGCATTATCTTACTTCTATAATATGGGCAGATTCTAGAAAGCTGGGCCATGCCAAGTGTTGGTGGGGAGGTAACAGTATCATGCTCTGCTGTCATACAGCCTGGCAAATCTACAGCACCGTTTGGTCAGATTAAGTGTGTCCATATCTAGAACCCCCTTCCTGAGTACCTATCACAAAGACAATCTCACACACATCCATAAGGGGACATGCAAGAGGTTACACATCTCAAAATTGTTCATAGGGACAGAGTAATGGAAGCTCTCCCGGTGCTCATTCCCCAGGATGGGGGAGGGGAAGACATGCATAGGTAAAATGTGATGGTTGAGCAGCTAGAAAGCCACAGACTCCAAATACACATGGCGACATGTATAATATTTAAAACACAGTGGAAAAAAAGAAAGATACAGAATGAAGTATAGAACACAGGACTACTAAAAGTCAATTTTTAGATGGACAACCAAAGAACACATACAAATAGAAAGATGCACGTTAAATACATTGGAAGAGTTTCCTATGCGGTAGAAGGAGAATAGGAATAAGGCATGTGCATAAAAATTTTAATAAAGTTAAAAGAAAAAAAGCAAAACTAGATTAAATAGCATCTTTGTGTAAACCAATGTTAATAAGATGCCATAAACTGAAGGGTGTGGTTAATTTCAACTTCCACACCTGAGGGGCGCTTGGGTGGCTCAGTTGGTTAAGCGTCTGGCTTCGGCTCAGGTCATGTTCTCAGGGTTTTGGGATTGAGTCCCGCATCGGGTTCCCTGCTTAGTGGGGAGTCTACTTTTCCCTCTGCCTGCCCTGTCTGCTGCTTCCCCTGCTTGTGCTCTCTCTCTGACAAATAAATAAAATCTTTAAAAAAAATTAAATAAACTTCCACACCTGAAACCCAACTAAAGATAAATGATGGTGATGAGGATAGACAGATAGACAAAAAAGAAACCATTCTCTCTCTCCTTATGATCCCTGAAATACCACCACTACTCCCACCCCGCCCCCTAGAGAGTTCCATTTTCAACCCATTTGACCTTGGTTTTATAGGAAATTTGAAGCTCTTTATACAGAAACAGTTGAGAAACCCTTTTATTTCAGGAAGTAAATTCCATCCACCCAAACTGCTACTGTCATTTCAGTAAGTCCTCTCCCACTTTCCACACCTTGTGTTGCAATTTCTGATTTCTCTCTCCCCTGCTCATTACAACCTGATATGAACTATACAAAGGGAG